CACAACACAACACAACACAAAAACAGCATTCTTCCCTCTTTGCCGTGGGTTTTCTTTGCATTTCCAGCATCATTCTCTTCATTTCCAGCACCTCCCCATCCTTCCAACACACTCCACTCCATTCCACACTTCCATCCCTCCAAAACACTATCCTTAGACCTTATGCTACAACAAAGAGGAGGAGAAGAGTGCCTAAACGTTCATACAATTCAAGTTTGAGTTGTTGGAATGTTTAGGAGTTTCTTTTCCTCGAATTCAATGCTTAAATTTACTTATCTTTGTCTTGTACGTATGAGGAACTAAACCCCCCCTTGGCTAGGGGGGGGATTCGAAATACATGTTTATGCTTGCAATACGATTTGATTACTTCTAATTGCGTTTCATAAGTTGTGGATTCAATTTGTTTAACTATTTGATTGATAACCTATTTATGTATGTTTATTGAGAGTGCACGCTTAATTTTCATGCATGAATATGACGCTAGAATATAAGTGAGTTTCACCTAATAGTTATGAACTTATATTCACAAGTAGTGGAGGTTGCTTATAAACAATCGCGTTAAGTAAATTCTTGGCATAAGTTTCATGCAATCATAGTAACGAATGCCTCGTCAACACTTATGGTTTTCAAAGAACTTAATGATTCTTGCTTGTATCTCTATTATGCAATTCATGTAGGGAACTTGTGGGGAATGCTTTGGGTTGTCGTATGCAATCATCCAATTCATTAACTTAAGGAAAACTTGACGGTTAATTTAAACGGACCTAATTAACCCGGGGTGTTGAGAATTCATGGTTTATTGAAAAGCAATTAGAAATCATTTTGTATGCAAGTATAACATGTGTGGAGATGAACCCCTTAGCTAGCTTCCCATCCATTCAATTCCATCAAATTCGTATTTACAATTTGTTTTCTTTACAATTTGTGCATTTTAGTCTAATTTCGTCAAAACCTCAATCCCCCCCCCCATACTTTGTTTAGTCTTAGTCTTAATCTATCTTATTTTGAGTTTTGCATTCTTTGAGTCTAGTATAGTGTTTTAAACTTGTTTTTACGTTTTTGAGTCAAATCCAAGTGATTAACAATCCCTCCTAATCCCCGGTCCAGAACGATCCCTACTTACATACTTACTACAATTGACAAAAAGAGGGTTTAATTTGTGTGCGTATAATTCTCGCATCAACATGCCCTAAAATGTGCCGCACCTTACCTTCCTTTTCTCTCCAAATTTCTGGCCTTAAAATCCTTTCCCTTTTTCCTTGCCGTGAGTTACTTCTTTTCTCCCCAAAATCTGCAAGATTATGTCACAATCCTTGTCTTAAAAGCCTTAGCCGCACCTCCCTTGACCCTTCCTCTTCCTTGCCGTGCAAGGAAGATAGTTCTTTCCTATTTCCTTGCATTAAAACACATTCCTTTTGTGTTTTATGCATTGCTGCAACTTTTAGGTAGGTTCCTTTAATTTTCTGATTTGATTTCCTATTTCTAAAAGCTTTTGACTTAAATTTTGATTACCTAAATAGCCTAGGGTTTTAATTCCTGAAATCTTATAAATAAACATCCTTGTTGCAGCCACAAAGCATTGATTCATTCACCATTCACGCCAGAAATTGATCCCACCTCTCTAACACATCCATACTTCACCATTCTCCATATTTTCTGCCCAAAACCAAGCCTTGCCGTCCCCTACATCCATCCCAACCCTAAATCCATCATTCTACATCATCCATAATCCCTAAACTCACCATAATCCCTTGTGCCGCAGCAATTGGGAGAGGAAGGAAGCCTTGAACGTTTCATGCTTGCAGATTGGAGCGTTCTTAGGTGTACTTCGTTCTTGTTTTCAATGTTTACTTTGTTATTACTTTCTAAGTTTGCTGTAATCATGAGTGGCTAAACCCCTAATTAGTTAGGGGAAAGTTTGAAGCCATGAACATGTTTGAGATATGAATTGATTTCTTCCAATTGTGATTTGTTAAGTTGTGATTGCAATTCAATTATCTGTTTTATTCAAAACTTGTTCTTGTATGTTGATTAAGGATGCATTCTTAGTTTTCATGCATGAACTCGATGCTAGTTTATAAACGAGTTTCACCTAATCGTCACAAGTTTATAAACATGAGTAGTGAAGGTTGCTAGTCACAACCACGTTAATTGAATTCTTGGCAAAAGTATCATGCATTCATAGTTACAATTGCCTCGTCAACACTTACGATTTTCATAGAGCATAATGATCTCTCACTGTATCTCTTCTATGCATTCATGTTGAGGACCGTTGGAGAATAATTTGAATTGTCGCATGCATCATCCAATTCAATGACATAAGGAAGGTTTGAGGGTTAATTAGTGCATCACGGTTAACTTGGGGTGTTGAGCATCATAGTTAGTGGAAAGCAATTGGAAAATCGATTCATATACAAAAGTGTCATGTGTTGAGAATGGACCTCTAACTAATCCATCCATCATCTTGTTTCCAAAATTCGTTTTACAATCTGCCTAGTTTTATAACTTGTTTTGTTATTTCAATTTTCGTCAAATCAAAACCCCCCTTTACTTTCTTGTTCTATAGTGTTTAGAATCTGTTTAGTTTGTGTTTTAAAGTGTTTTGAATCAACCTATAATCTTAAATTTGTCCAAAATTGTGTTTAGAGTCAGAAACTGCCTAGTTAGTGTTTTTAGGCAGTTTTGAGTCTTTTGAACCTGTTTTGAGTCCTTTGAGTCTTTGTGAACGTTTTCAACTTTGTTTTTTATGTTTTTGAGTTAGTTTAGAGGTTTTAGCAAGCCCTCCTAATCCCCGGTCCAGAACGATCCCTACTTGCATCCTTACTACAATTTGACAACAAGAGGGTTAATTTGTGTGCTTAACTATTTTCGCATCACAGGTGTCCGGAGCAACCGAGCGAAGGTCACAAACTTGACACTTCACATTGTTCCAAAGTCTCACTAATTTTGTGCATCAACAAACTAAATAAATGATACAATATACCATGATTAACTAAGCTTTGCCCTTCCATTAAACAAATAAGAGTTTAACATGATAAGTATTTCAAAAGTTGTTACATCAAATGAGTAGTTTTAAAGGCATGCTTCAAACAATCCTTTTCTTCTCTCTAGCCGTCTCTCTCTGTCTTTCCCCAGTAAATTCATACTACAACACAAATAACTTCAAGAAAGAAAAGATAGCATATAAAAAAAATTATATTTAGTGATCGACATGTGGCTTTAGTGGATGAAATGTGAGTAAACATGACAGTAGGTAAAAAAATTAGTCATTATAAAAGTTTAGGGGTAAAAATTGACTAAAATAAAAAGTTAAGGAATAAACCAAGTTCAGTGTTTTCCAACCAAAATGTCAATTCTTAAATGGCATGAAATGGATTGACGAATATTGTCCCTATAAAAAATCTTAAATTTTATTATTAATGATTATTTTCCTTCTCACATAAATATTTATTTTTCTTTGTTGTAAGGTCAAGTTAGTAAGGAATTGATCACAAAAAATATTGAAGGATGGATTAAAATGCCTATTGAACACATGAAGTCATGTAAAAGAGATTCCATTTTTCAGTAATTTGATCTCAGTTTTCTCAAACTTGAATAAATGTTAGCCCCATTTGACAAACAACTTGACAAGTAAATTTTTTGTTTCTCTCTCTCTCTGTGAACTCCAAATCCTAGATCCAGAAGCACCCCCTCCCCAAGTGTCAAGTTTCAGCCACCGCCCATTACTCTTGCTTAGGGTTGGCGGTAGCCCGTTACTCTTCATTTTCCTCCTCCTTCCCTCCTCTCTTCTTTGCCTTTTCCTTCTTTTCCTCCCCTCTCATCTCCTCTTCCCCTTCCTCCTCCCTGCATCCACCTCCTATTTCTTCTCCTTTTCTAGTCACTTTCCTTCGTTATAATTCTCGGTTCTCCCCTGAGTTTTATCTCAATTTTCCTTTAGCTGAGTTTCAACTATCCCTAGCTTGTCTTAAGAGTTGGGCTTCATGCCCCTTATCCTGCATTTTTTCGCCTGCTTTTACAGCTTTCTATCTTTTAATTTTCCATCCTCCCTCATCCCTAGATGTGATACTCCATCCCCATCTCACCATGTGCTCAGATCAAAGTTCCGATCAGGAATGGATATTGAATTCACTTCCCTCCCCTAACCGGCATGTTGGATCCCCATCAAAGCCAAGTGTTGGGTATTTTGCATATTCCCTTAGCCTCACTCTCTACCCATAAAATACTCTACCCATAAAATACTTTGTTTGTATATATTTGAAGGGGTTCATGAAGGGGACCTGGATCTGGCGTGTACTCGCTCGATTCAGAGCTTGGCTTCCTCTAAGGATGTGACGGTTGCCGCGGTGTGGTTTATGCTGCTGGAGATTAGGGTTTTTTGTTGTTGTTGTTGGTTTTTTTTTTTTTTTTTTTTTTTTGGCAGTCTTCGGGCCTAAAATTGTGTGAGCCTCCCATTGTATCTTAGGTTGTAGCTCTCATTTTACTTGGATCTTTTACATGATATGTAATTGTTTGCTTAATTTTTTTTGACCTTGTACTAGTTTTTAAGGTAATGAAAGATATTTTAATTGACCCCAAAAAATTTTAAAAAAAGCAAAGAATATATGTTGGCCCCAAACATACCATTTACTTTGATTTCAGAACTCAACTCAGTAAATGCGTATTTCTTTCTTCAACTTGTTTTTCAAAGCAATTCTTTTTCCAATTTTGCAGTCCAAGCAAGCAACGCGTTATATTTCAGCATTTTTTATGGTATATTTTCAGCATTCACCGTGTGCTTCTCGAAGCTCTTTTAAGACACATCAGCAAGAGACGTCCTTTCCAAGGCCATTTCTATTTTTCAACTAATTGCAAGAAAAATAACTTAACGCTGACGTCTACTCAGAATTGCCTGAATGACGCTGACGCGTGTGTGGCTCCCACCTCTTACCCAATCCCTGTCCCCCACGTGGACATTACCGGTTGAAACTGGTATAGGGCACTGAATCAAGAAAGAGATATTGATCCGAAAAGTCCAGGTTTTTGGTTCCTTTAGAAAATTTTCCACCTCCACGCCTTGTTCTGCATTTTTTTGACGGTTCCAATTGCATTTTTTCAATCTTCCCGTTTCACCAAAAGAACCCAATAAGGTAAACCTTCTCTGTAAGCTCTCTCTCTCTCTCTCTCTCTCTCTACTTTTTTGAGAATTTCGAATTGTGATATAATATAATCCTATCGAGCTTCTGTTGCTGTTTATATTATCGTTGTCACTAGAAATCAAAACCCCTTTGGTGGATTCTGTTCTTTTGCGAAAGATTCAACCTTTTTTGTGCCCCCCTCATGCCATAAATCCACAGGATCAAGCTCAAAATTGAATATTTTTGTATTTTAGAAATTACCCAGAAAACCCATTAAATTATTTGCAAGATTTTGTTCAATAAGTTTAGAACCGGAGGATTTAGAGATGGATAATAATGGCGGTTCATCACCATACCCATACCCATATCAGAATTCCTATCCATACCCTCATCACCCTCATCCTAATCAATACCCTCCACCTCCGGATCAATACTCACCTGCCCCATATCCATACCCACCATACAATTCTCAGTATCCTTACCCGTACCCGTACACTCCATCGCCTTCCTCACCGTCCCCCCATTCAGTTTCAGGCCCTTTAGATTACAACCAACCTCCCTATCCATATCCCTACCCCCCGGCTCGTCCGATTTCCCATAGTGGTCCTCTGCCTAGCATTCAGCAGCACAGCAGTTTCAATTATGGTTCACAGTACCCTTACCAACAACAGTCTGGGGCTTACCCGCCTCCCGAAAGCCCCCATCATGTGCTCCCCAGTAGGTTCTCGAATCATCAGCGGCATGATAGCTGTCCCATTGGAATTGAGACGGGTTCATTTCATGAGAATGTTTCAGAACCTATGCCTCCTCACTCTTCTGCTTATCCGCCCTTGGATCAGCTTATGAGTAATGTGCATTTGTCTGAAAATCAATCACCCGAGCCCACAGCACCCCCATCACCTTCGGTGCCACACTTGACTCATTCAACTCCGAGTAGTGCAAGGTATGATAAGCAAGGGGAGCTCTATGCGTATCCTAATAACTCATTTTCAAGTAGTTGGGATACGTCTTATTCGGGTCAGATTGAATCAGCGGCTCATTCTCCTTATTCGCATTCAAGCTCATTTAATGGGTCACAGCATAGCGGTAGTTTGCAGATTATTCCATTGCAGAATAAAGGGTCCTTGAAGGTTCTGCTTCTACATGGAAATTTAGACATTTGGGTATATGAAGCCAGAAACCTTCCAAATATGGACATGTTCCACAAGACTTTGGGGGATATGTTTTTGAAGTTACCAGGGAGTGCAAGCAACAAAACCGATGGCCAATCAAGTCGTAAGATTACTAGTGATCCATATGTTTCAATCTCAGTTTCAAATGCTGTAGTTGGGAGGACATATGTGATAAGCAATTCTGAATTTCCTGTTTGGACGCAACATTTCAATGTTCCAGTAGCACATTCCGCTGCTGAAGTGCACTTTGTTGTTAAAGATAGTGATCTTGTGGGGTCCCAGCTCATTGGGGTTGTGGCAATTCCGGTAGAACAGATATACACGGGAGCAAGAGTTGAGGGAATTTATCCAATCTTGAATTCGAGTGGGAAGCATTGTAAAGCCGGAGCTGTCCTAAGACTTTCAATTCAGTATATTCCAATTGAGCAATTGAGCGTTTACCATAACGGAGTTGGGGCGGGCCCTGATTATTTTGGGGTTCCTGGCACATATTTTCCTCTTAGGACAGGTGGAAAAGTAACTCTTTATCAAGATGCCCATGTCCCAGATGGGATGCTTCCAAACTTGATGTTAGATGGTGGGATGCCATATGTGCATGGGAAGTGTTGGCATGATATTTTTGATGCAATACGTCAGGCCCGACGTTTAATTTACATTGCTGGTTGGTCAGTTTGGCAGAATGTTAGACTAGTTCGGGATGTTGGTGGTGCATCAAATTGCACCATAGGGGATCTTCTGAGGTCCAAGTCCCAAGAAGGAGTGAGAGTGCTGTTGCTTGTTTGGGATGACCCTACTTCAAGGAGCATTTTGGGTTATAAAACAGTAAGTATTCTTCGACTATTCGTATTCTGGAATAGCTATTCTATCAAGTGATCATGGTTCTAAAACTTCTATCGTTATTATTATCTTTGTTTAACTTGTGAATTTCTTGGATGCAAGACCTTTCACTTAGTTTGTGTTGCATCACAAGAAGCATAGTGTTGAAAGTTACTGTTGAATCAAAAGAGAAATGAATGCCAGAAATTGGTTATCATGATAAAATGCTTTAGATGAAAGCAACTGAATTTTGATAGAGTCAATGACATTGATATCATCCTTTTGTTGTATGATTTTCATATTATTTCCTTGTTAAGTTCAAACTGGAATTGTTGTATGTGTTTCTCAATGGAACATGAGAACTTATTTGTTGCAGGATGGAATCATGCAAACCCATGATGAAGAACTTCGCCGATTTTTCAAGCATTCTTCAGTGCAAGTATTACTTTGCCCTCGCACTGCTGGAAAAAGACATAGCTGGGTCAAGCAAAGGGTTAGGCATAACTAAGCATTTGTTGCTATGTCGTCATTTTTCTTCACTTAATACCATGCATCCAATTCTGGTTTTTTCCTTCTTGTTGGTGTATTATTTTCTGAACTTGTTTTCAATTGAATGCTTCTTATATTTTGGATTTCAGGAAGTTGGAACAATCTATACACACCATCAGAAAACTGTAATAGTGGACGCTGATGCTGGCATTAATAGGAGGAAAATCATGGCCTTTGTTGGAGGACTTGATTTATGTGATGGTCGGTATGATACGCCGGATCACCCTATATTTAGGACATTACAAACAGTGCATAAAGATGACTATCACAATCCTACATACACGGTAATTATGAGACCTCTTCTAATGGCATAATTGTGAATAGCTTTGTAGTTAAATTGTTACACACTATGCATTTCATTGGCACTCCGTAACAAAAAATAAAATAAAAAACAGAAGGGTATAGTTATTTGTTGCTCAAATTTGAACATTTTGTCCTCTATAGTTGGCTTAGTGAAGGAGCGAGATATATAGTTAGAGGGGGGCACTAATAGTCCTAGATAGTATAATGTTTTGAAATCAGATTCTACATAGAAACTTCAATAGTAGTAGATTTATATTCATTGGAAAACAGTTGTTCTTAATGAGTGGTACATGATAACTTCTCAATCAATGAAATAAGTTTTTTCTTTATCCAAGTAATACCACCCAGTAATCATCCATGTATTACGAATTTTTCTCTTCTAATTACCTATATGGTTTTATCTCATTGAAGGGCAGCACTGCTGGTTGTCCAAGAGAACCATGGCATGACATGCACTCTAGACTTGATGGTCCAGCGGCATATGATGTACTGACCAACTTTGAAGAGCGCTGGTTAAAGGCTTCAAAACCACATGGGATGAAAAAACTGAAAAAAAGTGCGTATGGTGATTCTTTGCTGAGGTTGGAAAGGATTCCAGACATAATTGGAGCGTCCCATGCTGCTTCCACTACTGACAACGATCCTGAAACTTGGCATGTTCAGGTAATGAGGTCGTAACTGACTATTGAGATTGCCCGTGAAACTTGGCTAAACTGGTAAAGGGGTAGGACTGAGTAGATTTTCAATTCAAATTTCCCAGCCAACAAGAAAAAGTAAACTACTGAAATAGTTTGCATTATATCCATTCTTACAAATGAAAACATTTTTCCTGGTGTTTCACCAATGCAGATTTTCCGTTCAATTGACTCAAATTCTGTTAAAGGTTTCCCAAAGGATCCAAAAGAAGCAACAAGCAAGGTAAATTGATATTTACTGAAAATTCTCTTTGCTGCGATCTTTTTGGACTGGTGATTGATGCTCTGTTGTAACAGAACCTGGTGTGCGGAAAAAATGTGCTGATTGACATGAGCATACACACAGCATATGTGAAGGCAATCCGCGCTGCCCAGCATTTCATTTATATAGAGAATCAGTATTTCATTGGGTCCTCATACAATTGGAGTGCGCATAAAGACTTGGGTGAGAAACATTGTTATGTTTAGAGAGTATTGGGTCTATTGACCACCCAAGTACTAAAATACCCTTCTTTTGTCATGGTTTACTTTATAGTTTATTATAGAATTATGGTCAAATGTATGATCCTACTAACTCTGAATCTCTACATAGGTGCTAACAATTTGATCCCAATGGAAATTGCCCTTAAGATTGCTAGTAAAATCAGAGCAAATGAGAGATTTGCTGTATATATCATCATTCCAATGTGGCCAGAGGGTGTTCCAACGGGTGCAGCAACACAAAGAATTCTGTTTTGGCAGGTAGGCTCCAATTATTATCTTGATAGTTGAAACCTTTGTTTAGTCAAGAATTGCAAATTGTTGACGCTTCTAATTATCTGATTTATTTAATGTAGTATTAAAATTTGACATAGTATACGGGTAGATTTTAAATTAGAAAATCAGGTTAGTTAATATAGAAAGTCTTTGATGTATGTGATGTGGAAGACTGAGGGAGGTCAATGGTTCTGTTCCATGTATAAAACTTCAAAGGGTTGTCAATTAGTAGATTTGTAATTCCTCTTCTAGCGAGGACATTAGGGCGTAAAGTAGGGAAATTGTGATACCTCAGTTCCACGTTGTGAAGATTTAAGGTAGTTACGCAAGACCTAGGAAATGATGTCAACTGAAGCTAGGACTTTTGCTTTTGCGTATATCGTCATTTGAAAATGTCGACTAAAGTTAGGGAAAGAAGGAAGAGTTTTTACTTGTTACATAATAAATTATGAAAATCAATCATGTGATTGGATGCTACATTAGAAACTGCGGGGACTCATCTTTTTTAATGCAGGATTGCTCATCCTCAATAAATGAAAGCTATATAATCTGTACTGGCTGAATTCAGAATGTTGTTTATCTGGGTTCTTTTATTGATTGCTGCAGCACAAGACAATGCAAATGATGTACGAGACAATTTACAAGGCTTTAGTGGAAGTTGGGCTGGAGGGTGCATTCTCCCCCCAAGACTATTTAAACTTCTTCTGTCTTGGCAATCGTGAGGCCATAGATGGAAACGATACATCATTCTCTGGAAGTCCTACTGCAGCCAACACTCCTCAGGTATCTTCTCTCTAAGAAAAATAGCACTATTTACTCCTGTAGGCGGAGAAAGAGAGTATTGTTTTATTGTTGTTAATTCCTATTTTTCCTCGAATTTGTTCATAGGCAGAGAGAGAGAGAGAGAGAGAGAGAGAGAGAGAGAGAGAGTAGAGAGTTGATTCCTATTTTCCTCAAATTTGTTTATATGACAAACGTACCTATATAACTGGTGTACATCGTGTTTCCAGGCGCTTAGTCAAAAAAGCAGGCGATTTATGATTTATGTTCATTCGAAAGGCATGATAATTGATGACGAGTATGTAATAGTGGGTTCGGCGAACATCAATCAGCGCTCTATGGAAGGGACAAGAGACACCGAAATTGCAATGGGGTCCTATCAACCTCATCATACCTGGGCAAGAAAAAATGCTAGTCCTCATGGACGGGTAAAGTGATACAACTATAAGTTCTCATGAAAGTATATTTTTCTGAGATATCAAATTAAGCTGATATGTGTAACCCAACTTCCTGTCTTGTATGTTTTGCGTCGCAGATATATGGATACAGAATGTCCCTATGGGCAGAGCACACTGGAACCATTGAGGACTGCTTCACGCAACCAGAGAGTCTTGAATGCGTAAGGAGAATAAGATCAATGGGTGAGATGAACTGGAAACAATTTGCTTCCGATGATGTAACGGAGATGAGGGGTCATCTATTGAAGTATCCAGTTGAAGTTGATCGGAAAGGCAAAGTGACATCCCTTCCTGGAAGCGAGAATTTCCCAGACGTGGGAGGAAATATAACCGGCTCGTTCCTTGCAATCCAAGAAAACCTGACCATTTGATTTGCAAATCGAATTCAATTACGTTACAATGTTTTGGTTTTCTTTTCTCACGAGTACAATTTTGGTGTTTTGGTATTTTTTTTTTTTTTTTCCATAAATTTTATCCAACCCGCCTGCTTTGCAGGTTATTAAATTTCACTTCAGGTTGTGTCTTTTGAATTTTCTTTATTTTTGGCCTGCTCAATTCAATACAATACGATACAAATCCATCCTTCCATGCTGTTTCCACAACTCTGAAATTTTGCTTACTAAACAGACCAAATACAAACAATCGAGCGAAACACCGGACCTGAGAGGAAATTTATAACGAGAAAATCACGCGTTCTAGATTCGTCTAATCAAATATAATCAGCTTAATGATCACTAATCAGCGTCAGATTAATGAACTTCATGAGATATTAACAAGCTTTGGCCGTCTAGTATTAGGATTTACCTCTACCCGAAGACCAAGTTGAGCAATTTCAGGTGTATCAACAGCCCCTTGAAGCTCCAATTCAGCCACTACCCTTTCGTTTTCTTCGTTGCCTTCGAATAAGTCCCTGACACACCAAATGCCCCACTCCCTTAAGTACGGATTGTCGTCATCAAGGCCGCACTGTTGCAAGAGCAGAAGAATCCAGTCCCTTTGTCTAATCTCATCTTGTACAAGCTTACTTTTATACGTGCAATTGCCAATGACGGCCACCATATCTCTCCGAAATCCCTTATACGGGCAGGGTTTTAAGGAAGAAGACTTTGGTCCATCTCGTTCCTCACCTTGCTTGATAGCTTTCCACATTACTGATGTCGGCTCAAGATCACGAAGCAAACATAAAAGTAATTCTATGAGGCCATGGGATAGCAAAACATCAACAGCATCCCCCAGGTCCTCGTTAGAGCCTCTTACGGACTTCTGAGCGCATATATCTCTCAGGATTGCAGATAGACTCAATCGAGGCTAAATGGATGGTATCAGTGAATAAAGGTAACATAAAATAACTGAATGTACAAAGTTACCTGCAGCAGTAGTGTTTACAATCTCTTTCACGATAGTTATTCCACGAGCACTGCAAAGTTGGGCAAACAGTTCGGGGCTTCCGTCACCACAAGCATAGATAACCATGCACAAAGGATCACAAGTTTCCCGGCTCTGAACTCTTGCAAGAGCAACAAACTCTTTTGGAAAAAGTTGCTGCCAAATTGCACGCTGATGTTGTTGTCCAGCCAATGAAACATTAGCAAGAACTTGCAACCCCATACGAATGATCCCAGCATCCGGCTCCCAAGAAAGGCTCGCAGAGTTCGAAACATTCGATATGATTGCAACTCCATTATGTTGAACAAATGAGTTGTGATTTGCAATCTCTCCCGCACAAAGATTTCTTACGAGCTTTAAACATAGTGTGAGAAGATGGCGAGCAGAAGGGTAAGGGAGAGATTGTATGAGCTGGATGGCAGGGGGAAGAATATCCTTAGACGCAAGGCCTGCACGACCATCTGCTGTTCTACAAACTTGTATTAAGTTTTCCAACGAATTCACGAGGGAAGATGAGTTTCCCGCAATTAGTATTTTCCGGAGAACATGCTGAGGTACAGAGCACTCTTGCAGTGCTGTGTTATCCAGTACTAATCAATCGACTGATACCGAAACCAAAAAATGCAAAAATTTCAACAGCTAAACTGGTAATGAATTGATAATTAACACTCTAGTAGAAACTCACAAGTATTAATGTATTATCATGATGTTAATTAAATAAAAACTAGAGTTAGTGCAATATAATCACAGAATCAACGCCTAACAAGTAAATTTTACATGAAATCATACTTGGAAATCAAAAACAAAAAATATATATCTCAATCATTTCTTATTTAATATGAAATCAAACAAATATTATACATGTTTAATTCATCAAACCCAAATCCAAATCCACAAATTCAATGCCCCCAATTGACAATGAAGCTCAAAATTTGTGTGCAAAAGTAAATTTATACCCGGGACGGTGGATAAAAACCCCAATTGGTAATTGATGGCAGGAAAAGGAACAGACCGAATTCAATTTTCTTTCTTTCGGCCGAGACTCGGTCGAAACTTTGTTCGGCTGCGAAACTAAACCAGCCGAACTCGAACTTCTTTCCTTAATGGGGCCCACTTACGAATAAGCGGTCCAACAGGCTCTGGATGTAAGACCAAACCCAACCCTGCACTATTTACCAAATTTTCCCGCTTATTCCCCCGTCCAAACCCAACCCATACTAAATTTTTGGGCTAAAAGCCAAATGTCAAACTAAGGCTAAATACCCCCCAAGAAATAGCGCAGAAACGCGTGGACTCGCCCAAAAGGAGCCTATTCTCAACCTGATCATGGGCCTAACTCACCCCATGCAGGCTGAGCCCTTTAGCGCCCGACAGGATAGTACCCATTGTCAGGGCAGCTGTGGCTACCATTATGAGCCTAACGGCTCTTTTTATCATCGGACAGCTAGGCTTTTTGTACCTTTGGTTGATCCAACAATCCAGATTCAAATTTTGCTTTTTAAAAAAACGAAATTTTAAAATACATTGAATTCAACGGTTGAGATCAAATATAATCAAATCTAATGGTAAAAAAAAAAAGATCTAATGGCCCAAATTTAAATCCAACTGCTAAAATAATTAAAAAATATATATGTTTAACTCAAAATTCACCCAAAAACTCTATAAATACATATGTATTTGTTCAAACATCAACACAAAACTCAATTTTCTTCTACAATTCTTCCAATTTTTCTTTCTACCATTTCTTTCCATTTCCAAATTGTTCAACATGGCAAGAGAGCGTATTAGAGATCCTTATTGGACCTGTGAGGAAGATGTTTTATGCTTGGCATAGGTTGCTGTTAGCGAAGATGGTGCAGTTGGCATGAATCAAAATAAAAAAGTTTTGTGGGACAAAATCATTGAAAAGTTTCAGGAAAACTACAACGGCGGTGGGGGGGACGATGGTGGTGTGTACGATCGGTGGAAGACTATCAACAAAGCATGCACTTTATGGAAGGGAAGCTTGGAGAGTACCGTGGTTGGCATGGCTAGTGGAAGGAGTGCCGCAAAAATTATGAGCTTTTTTTGTTGATATTTTTTTTTTCATAGGGTGACAAGGCAATGGAAATTTACAAGACAAGAGTAACACCAAAAAATCAAGTTTTTAAGTTGCAACATGCTTGAAACGTCCTCAAGGATTGTCCAAGGTGGGCAACCGATGTGGACCAACAATGGGGAAGATTATTTCAACATGAAGCCGTGATAGGAGAATATTTATGCAACTTAGTTAGCTTGTTTTCTTGCATTTATATAGTTAGTTTCTATTTATTATATTGTTTTATGCCATTTTCGTGTGTTTGTAGGTCCAATTGACAAAGTTGGCAAGAAAGTGCATTTTGGTGTATTTTAGAGCAGTTTTGGGCTTGGAATGGATAGCTTGCATATGGAGCAAGGTGGATGGACAAATTTGAAGTCAAAAGAGGCTAGGAACATGCTACAAATCTGGAGAAACAAATTCAAGACAAAGAAGATAAGGAAAGAGCAAGAAACATGGAACATTATCCACACAACCTTATCTTATCTTATCCTATCCTAATCTTTTCCTACCTTAATTCCAACTGCAAAGAGGACTCCTTTTCACATTAAATCACCTAAATATCAGGTCCTAGAAGCCCTATTTTCGTGCCCTAAGTTTATGCCACATATCTTATCCCTTGTCCTTCTAGAAACCTGTCACAAAACCCTTTTCTAGAAGCCCTAAGAATCTGCCGCACCCCTTATCCCTATTCTCTTAGGTTTCTGATTTCTAGATGGCCTTTTCCTTATGGATTTGAAGTGCTAAAATCCTTTTCCTAAGCTACTTTTGTGCCACACCTAAGCCTATATATATATGTATATTTTCTACTGCAAAAACCACCACCCTCTACCACAATTTCACACCACACTATCCACCACACCTTAAGAGCCTAAATTCAGAAAATCCCCATTGTGTAGTAGCAAGGAAGGAAGGAGGAGCCACCTGGAGTCGTGCTTGCCATTCAAGACATTGGATTGTTGGAGCGTTTCTAGGTGTATTCTATCTTTGTTTCCAATGTTTAAATTTAATTATATTTGTTTTGCGAACATGAGGAACTAATTTCGTTTTGGCTAGAGGAGAATTCAAAGTCATGAACATATATGTGATATGAATTGATTTCAGCCAATTATTGTTTCATAAATCGTGAATGCAATTTGCTTAACTGCTTGATTGATAACTTATTCTTGTATGTTGATTAGATTGATAACTTATTCTTGTATGTTGATTAAGGAGGCCTACTTAGTTTGCATGCATGAATTTGATGCTAAAATATAAGGGAATTTCACCTAATTGTTATGAACTTATATTTGCAAGTAGTGGAGGTTGCTAGTCACAATTGTGTTAAATAAATTCCTGGCAAGAGTATCATGCTTTTCATAGTTACGAATGCCTTCTCAATGCTTATGATTTTCACAAAGCTTAATGATCTTTGATTGTATCTCTATTCTGATATTCATGTAGGGAACTATTGAAGAATAATTTGGTTGCCGACGCGTATTCCATCCAATTCAATGACTTAAGGAAAATCTGAGGGTTAATTAGTGTTGTTCACGGTTAATCTGGGGCGTTGAGGTTCATGGTTTTAAGGAATAATAGCTGAAAATCGATTTGTGTTGCATATGTGTCATGTGTGGAGAAGGACCCTCTAGCTAGCCATTCACCCATATTTCCCCAATTTCGTGCTAACTTAGTTTAAGTTTACAATCTGCTTGTTTTTACCTTAATTTCGTTAAAAACCCAATTCCCTTTACTTTGTTGTGTCAAATTAGTTAGAATCTGTTTTAATTTGTTTCTTTTAGTGTTTTGAGTCAATTTAACTTAGTTTGTGTGTTTTGAATCTATTTAGCATGTTTTGAGTTGTCAAAGTCTAGTTTTCTGTTTTTGAGTATAGTTTAGTGATTTAGAGTTTAAATTGAGTAGATTAGCATCCCTTCTAATTCCCGGCCTAAAACGATCCCTACTTTCATATACTACAATCATAGGGTTTTAATTTGTGTGTTAAGTTAATTTCACATCAAGCCGCACCAACAAATGCCAGAGATAAAGGTGTTAATGAAGGTATCG